ATCAATGAACTGATTTTTTTTTTTTTTTTTTTTTAGGGAGAGGTGGGAAAATGCATTTATGCACACAGGTTGCTAGCCTGTAGTGTGGGACTCCAACGGGCTTAAGGCCCAGAGACTACCCACTAAAAACCTCCTCTACTCTTCGGACACTAGCCTGGGAACACTTGTCGCACTTCATCAGAACTAGGCCGAGTTTGCTTACGCCCGAGGGGCTTACGCCGTGTCTAGCCGTTTATTTCTTATCAAATCTAGACTATGTTCCGATCTAGATCATTCTTTTTAGCTTGAAGGACGTTCCGGACAAAGTGCGACCAGCAGTCCCAGTTGTCCTCACCCTTCAGCAAGGTCTCACAGATCGATTCAATCGACAGCACCCCAAGATGTTGAATGGCCTCCTGGCGAAGCATATCCCATTGTGGACAGCGGAAAAAGGTGTGTTCCGCGTCGTCGGGAATGCATGGGCAGTAAATGCAGTCAGGTGAATTCGTTTTGGCCATCAAGTGCATTTACGACTGAAAATAGCCGTGACCTGACAAGAACTGCGTGAGGTAAGCCCAGGCGCATATTGAGCTGTGCGGCACAGCCCGCGCAGCGCAGCGCAGCACAGGGCAGCATTGGTTAAAAAATCTGCGTCGCACAGTTCAACCGCATATTGAGAAGCAGTTCTCGTATGTGGTTCAGTGCAAGTGGTACAGTTTTTGTGCTAAAATGTTATCAAAGTATTTAGATTTGAGTTCTGAGTCAGATTCAGATGCTGATTTAGATTTACTGTTGCTGCTTCACCAGAGAACAAGGAAGAAAAAGGGGAAAAACAAAGACTACCTGAAAAGAAGAAGTTCGCATGGGGAATTCGTACTAACAAGGGAGCTGTGTGGTGAGAGGTTCATGAATTATTTTCGAATGAATAAAGCGGAATTTGACGAAGTTCACAGTTTAATCCAGCCTCTAATTTACTCCGAAGGATGCAACGCTCAAAGACCAATTGGGACTGAAGAAAAATTGGCAGTATTTCTAAGGTAACGATTTATTAATAATTATGATAAGTTAAGAAAACTTTTAGGTACTCCAAAGCACCAAAAAGTACAACAGTACAAAAAGTATAAATAATAATAAACTTGTATAAAAAAAGAAATACACTTTTTAGCTACATAAGTACAAAAAAGTAAAAAAGTCATCTTGGCCTGTATAGTAATGTAAAAACTTAAGTATATTTAGGTTGAAAAACAAATTGAAAATTGAATATAGAAAGTCATCTTGGCTTTATATAGTAATGTAAAAACTTAAGTATATTTAGGTTCGAAAACAAATTAAAAATTGAATATTGAAAGTCATCTTTGCTTTGTATAGTAATGTAAAAACTTAAGTATATTTAGGTTCGAAAACAAATTAAAAATTGAATATTGAAAGTCATCTTTGCTTTGTATAGTAATGTAAAAACTTAAGTATATTTAGGTTCGAAAACAAATTAAAAATTGAATATAGAAAGTCATCTTTGCTTTGTATAGTAATGTAAAAACTTAAGTATATTTAGGTTGAAAAACAAATTGAAAATTGAATATAGAAAGTCATCTTTGCTTTGTATAGTAATGTAAAAACTTAAGTATATTTAGGTTCGAAAACAAATTAAAAATTGAATATTGAAAGTCATCTTTGCTTTGTATAGTAATGTAAAAACTTAAGTATATTTAGGTTCGAAAACAAATTAAAAATTGAATATAGAAAGTCATCTTTGCTTTGTATAGTAATGTAAAAACTTAAGTATATTTAGGTTGAAAAACAAATTGAAAATTGAATATAGAAAGTCATCTTTGCTTTGTATAGTAATGTAAAAACTTAAGTATATTTAGGTTCGAAAACAAATTAAAAATTGAATATTGAAAGTCATCTTTGCTTTGTATAGTAATGTAAAAACTTAAGTATATTTAGGTTCGAAAACAAATTAAAAATTGAATATTGAAAGTCATCTTTGCTTTGTATAGTAATGTAAAAACTTAAGTATATTTAGGTTCGAAAACAAATTAAAAATTGAATATAGAAAGTCCTCTTGGCTTTGCATAATAATTTAAAAACTTAATTAGAGGTAAGTTCAAAAACACATTGAAAATTGAATATTGTCTTGGTACGGTACGACAATTTTAAGACATTAAGAATTGTTGAACGCGTTGATAAAAGACACGAGCGTGTTTGCTGCCGAGTTGGGGTTCAATGTCCCGTCAGGTGAAGGTGATGCAGAGGGATGTCCCACAGCTGAAGATAGGTTTGATGTTTCCGGCGAGATGGCGTTAGAAGAGCTTGACCAGTTGCGAAACTGACGATCATCATATGTAGGCTGATGGAATTGTTGTTGGGGCTGATGGAATTGATGTGGCTGTTGTGAATAAGAAGGTTCTTGATTCCAGTTCAGCAGACGTGCTTCCTCGTCCGTTACCGCCATAAACACATTCCTTCTCACAATATGTTGGGACGAAACAGGCATTTTCTTTGTAAGCTCATACATTGACAGGAAAAACATATGAAAATCATCCGAGGAAGAAGCTACATTATCCTCTAGTTTTTTTCTTTCTTTAGCCCGCTCTGCTGCCCTCTGCTCACGTTGTTCAATAGCTTTTAATATTGCGGTGTCAACTTCTTGTTTCTTTGGTTTTTTGGCGGTTCGTGATGATAGTGGTGATGTATTGCGTGTACGCTCCTGTGAAGGATGATCTTCTGAATTCAATTTTTCGTGTTCAGCCGTTTCTGGCTGAGACAAATCATCAATAATAACGGTACTGTCATTTTTCGCTTCCTCGGTCTCTTCTGGCTCCCGTGTTTCTTGTGGTTCATCTGGTTGTAATTCAGAATTTGGGTCATTGTTGGTGAAACTTGTTTCTCTATTGTCATTGACCATGTACTTCAACAAAAACTCCATTTGAGCCTGCAACCTCCATGGTTTGATATCTACTGCTGGTGCACCACTTTTCACCATACGGTTCTGCCGTCGTAGAGCATCTCTGTGGTTGTTACGCAATTTTTTCCACATCGATTTCACGTCTTCAACTGAAAAAGAAGGAGAAAACGTAATATTTGTTAAAAAAAATCTGTTAGCTGGCATAGGGTTTCCCCAATCGTTTTTAAGGTCTTTAAAATCGTGGGATTTGAGAATTTTGTATTTTGACGGTCAAACCCGTAAAAAAGCCGTGATCACTCATATTGGGTTAATCCCCTTTTTTACAATATACAAATACAAATACATATAAATATATAAAGAACAATGTCAATATCTATTTTGGTAATTATTCCGTATACATGCCTCCAAAAAAATTTTTAATTTTAATGTCTAACTTTATAGTTTTTTGCCTCCTAAATCCTAATATACCATTATTTTTCACCGCTGATGAATAATTCTCATGATATCGACATTTTTACGCTATAGAATATTTTATTTAGGACATTTGTTGGCAATATTCTTGGGAAATATTCATCGGTGGTAGAAAATAATGGTATATTAGGATTCAGGAGGCAAAAAATTACAAAGTAAGATACCAACATTAAAAATTCGTTTGAAGGCACCTATATGGAATAAATATACAATTTTATTACTGAAATTAATTACATACGGTTAAAAATGTGTGTTTTTTTTTAGGTACCTAGCTTCTGGTGACAGCTACAAAAGCATTGGCTACAGCTACCGAATGGGAGATAGAACGGTAGCTAAAATAGTTAATGAAGTTTCCGACGCAATATGGAGAACGATGCAGCCGATTTATTTGCCTCAACCAACAACAGAGTCGTGGATGTCAATTGCGTCTGATTTTAATTCACGATGGAATTTTCCACATTGTGTGGGAGCTATCGATGGTAAGCATGTTGTCATCAAGAAACCAAACAAATCAGGATCGTCATACTACAATTACAAACGCACTTTCTCCATCGTCCTAATGGCAACTGTTGACGCAACATCAAAATTTACTTTCATCGATGTAGGATCTATGGGGAGATTCAGCGATGGCAACATTTTTTCAAGTTGTGAGCTAGAAAGAAAAATGGTAAAAGAAAAACTTAAATTGCCTCCCCCTTCAGAGCTTCCATCCTTTCCACAGAAAATGCCATATGTGTTTGTAGGGGATGAGGCATTTCCACTTATGGTTAACTTAATGAGGCCCTACCCTAAGAAGCAAGTCACGGATAACCACGAAAATAAGGTGTTCAACTATAGACTTTCACGAGCCAGACAAACTGTCGAATGTGCTTTTGGAATTCTAGCCGCACGATTCCGCGTATTCCAAAAACCATTTGAGATTAAAGTGTCTAGTGTAATCAGAGTCGTCAAAGCAGCTTGTTTGCTACACAACTATCTGCGCATAAATGCTACGAGTTCGGATTGTGAAGATACTTCGAACAAACAATCTACACAGCAGCTGGTTCCAGTACCATGTAATCGAGCAAGAACTGTTAAAGCAGCTTTTGCAGTAAGACAAGATTATACAGCATATTTCAACTCAGTAGGAAGTGTGGATTGGCAGGACGAAAGAGTCGCTGAAGGACAATATTAAATTAATCTTTGTAGTACGCCTAAGGCAGAATTGACACTAATTTGCCTCAATATTACAATATTTTTACCACTACACAGGGTTAATTTAAATAAAAAGTACCTACCATCTGGAATGTTTAGTTCTCTTCTAATCTTCTCCCAGATCTCGTTCTTATAATTCTATTTCATGTATTTAGCGTGACGGGTATCATACAAAACTGGGTAAACCCGAACCATTTCAATTAGTCTTTCTTCTAGTTCCATTTCTCACAACACTTGGAAGCACACTTTTCTACGACGCAGTGACCAATGCGGTACAGACACTTGTGACTCGATCACAAGTGCGCGCAGTCCACGTGCGGGACTGCCCCGCCCTGCCCTGCGCTGCGCCATAATATGCGCGTGTCCTAGCAAATACATGGTTTACAAAACACTGCCCTGCGCTGCGCTGCGCTGCGCTGCTCCGACTGCGTCTCAATATGCGCCGGGCCTAATAGTCAACCTCACCGCGCCACCGTTCTACCCACGGTTGGACCTGCCTGATGAGTCTGGCAGTCCAACGTCCTCGAGTCTCCCTTTCCCAGCTTTCTTGCCACATCTGAAAAGTGCGGGAGCGCTCTTCTGTTCTTGCAGCGTTCTTTCCGATGTAGCCTTGTCTCTGGTAGATTGCCTTCCTCTCCGCTGCCAAGAGTTTGACTGGGATAACTCCAGCGATCACCAAAACGGCCGGTTCGGACACCGTACGGTACGCGGAAGCGACCCTGAGTGCCGCCTGACGCTGCACTCGTGCGAGCCTCAACCTATACGCCTCCTTGTTAAGCGCGTCTGCCCACACCTCAGAGCCGTAGAGAAGCACGGACTGGACTGCAGACATCAGTAGTCTTCTACGGCTGGACCGGGGACCACCGACATTGGCCATAAGCCTACTAAGAGCAGCGACACTCCTAGCAGCCTTGTCCGCCGAACGGAAGATCTGGTCCCTCCAGCTCAACTTGTTGTCCACCATGACACCAAGGTACTTGGCGGTTCGCGTGGTTTGGACAACTACGTTCCCAACTCGTAGCGGAACGATGGTTTCAATCCGTTTTTTCGTGAGGATGACGATCTCTGTCTTGCTCAGAGCGAGTGTCAGACCATGATCAGTCATCCAGGCGTTTACAACGCGCATGACTTGGTTCAGTTTCAGTTGGGCTAGCTCAACGTTGCGTGCAGCAATGAGGGCTGCGACGTCATCGGCATACCCAACTAAAACGGTCTCCTCTGGCATCTCAGATCTCAGAAGGCTGTCTTAGGCAGCGTTCCACAAATCTGGGCCGAGTATCGAACCTTGCGCGGCACCGGAAGTAACATCCATCGTCCGCGAACCATCTTTAGTTTCGTAATTAAGAGTTCTGCAGCGCAGGTAGTCCTCGATCAGCCTCAACAGATATGCTGGTACGCGGAAGCTGTTTCTCAACGCGCTCAACATATCGACCCATCTCGCCGAGTTAAAAGCATTCTTGACATCTAGCGTAACAAGAAGCACGATACGGCGAGAGTAATGATTGTAGCTCTCGGCACGCTCTACCGCTCTGTGTACCTCGGATATCGCGTCGATTGTTGACCGACCCTTTCTGAAGCCGTACTGACGAGGAGACAAATCTCCGGCAGCTGACATCAGGCGGCAGCGGATCAGTTTCTCGAAGAGTTTTCCGGCCACATCCAACATATAGAGGGGTCTGTAAGACGACGGCATATTCGGGTCACATTTCCCCTTGCTGATTAGCACAAGCCTAGCCCTTTTCCAAGGAGTTGGGAAAACCCCTTCGCACAGGCATGTGTTGTACATTCTCAGCAGTAAGAGGGGGTTAACTGAGAATACCTTCTTGAGAGCCTCACTGGGAATACCATCAGGACCAGGTGCTTTTCTATTTTTCAGGGAGAGGACAGATGATTCCAGCTCTTTAATGCTAAAGAGTGGAATGTCCCCTACCTCGCCATAGTCGAAAAAAGGCCGCCGAGGATGAGACGGAAAGACGATCCTCCGGGGTGACGATCCTGTCCATGGTGGTGCCCTCCATGACGGAAGGTGGTAATCGGGCGCCGAGTTTCTGGGTTACAACCTTGTAGCCCAGTCCCCAAGGATACCCGCAGGGGGCCCACGCTTGCGTGGGTACGTGGCCTGGCGACCACGCGGACCCTAGCTCTCCCAGAGGGGAGGTAATTGCCCGGTGTTGGAACCGGCACTTCAGGTAGGCCACAAGCTATGGACGACTGGGCAAGCCAGCCTCTTTGGGTTGTACCCAAAGTGAGAGTTCCCAGTGACATTTCCTCCATTCAGGGTGGTGGGGTGTTCAGCTCTGCTAGTGTTGATTAAGTTCATAGATCTTTCACCTGCCTGTAGCTTGTGGTTGTGACTTGAGTTCTTCGGGCTCGTCCTACCTGTTGTGTTCGACTGACACTTTGTGAGGCATATCCTCGACTTTGGAAGTAGCCTCGTCCTGGGAGGTGAAAAACTAAGCCCCCAAAGGGGAGGCAACTTTCCGGTGTTGGAATTGTTGAGATAAATAATTTTAACATTATTCATTTAAAATTATTATATATATAGCCTATATATATATTTTGTTTGTATTATCAACTCTTTTGTTGCCTTTGAGTTTAGAAAAAAAAGAAGTTTTTTTAGGCTATATCAAGAAGGTCTTTGAGTTGTATAGAAAAAGGAGAAGTAAAATGGCCGTGGTAATGAGAGGTTGAGTAGTTGTTTTGCTGTGTAAATTGTAACATTAAAAAAGTGTGTTTTCAATAAATAAGATATTTGGGAAATGTATTGTGTTATTAAAAAGCCCAGCACAGACTAAAAATTCACAGGTCATGGGCCCAGGTACGCCTGCAGAAGCAGAAAAGTAAAAACGTACCGGTTAAATCAGAAACATGGCAAGTGGAAATTACGACAATGTGGAAAAGTTGAGTGACTCTGAGTCGTACAAATATTGGAAATTTCAGACAACAGTACTATTCAAAGCCCAAGGTAATTATGATATTGTTGAAGGTAAATATGAATATGACACAATTACAGACGAAAAGGAAAGAAAAGAATGGTTAAGAAAAGATGCCCTAGCTCAGAAAATAATAGTCACCTCAGTAGACAAACACTATTTAGTTCATATTTTAAATGAAACAACATCTCATGGAATGTACAGTAAATTATGTAGCTTGTTTGACAGAGAGACCGAACAACAAAAATGTTCTCTATTGCAAGAATTTTTTAATTACAAATATGATGTTGGCCAAAGTATGACCCATTTTTTGTCTAACCTACAGAACATGGCTTTTAAATTAAAATCCTTGAATCAAAATATTGATGATGATATGCTAATATCAAAGATCCTTTCATCATTACCAGAGCAGTTTAAGCATTTCTTAACTGCTTGGGACTCCACTTCAAAAGATGAAAAATCGCTAACTAACCTAACAACTAGGTTATTAGCTGAAGAATCACGGTTTAAAACTGATAGTGGTCATGATATGTCATTGGCTTTTAAAACTGGAACAGAAAAATTTCCAAGGTTAAATAGAGGTGGTAATAATGATAGGCCTAGTACCAGTAGGCCTAGTAGCTACCAGCAACCTAAGTCAAGTTACCGACCTGGAGCAAACCTAAATTTCAATCAGCGATCAAACACTGGAAATGTAAATAGTCTTAATGTAGGTAATCGCAAAGGATGCATTGCACGACGTCCAAGTGTCACGACGTCCAAAGCTTGTAGAAAGACTATATTTTTGGCAGTTACTGTACTTTTGGACGTCGTGGCACTTGGACGTCGTGCAACAACTCAAAAATTATGTTTTGGACGTCGTGGCACTGAAAAAATATTATTGGACGTCGTGGCACTTGGACGTCGTGCAACACTCCCATCGCAAATGCTTTATTTGTGAGAAAGTAGGACACTTTGCAAACTCATGTCCTAACAAAAGTAAGAATCAGAGTACTGGTAGAAGATTATTTTGTAAAATATGCAAGAAAACAAACCATGAGGACAAAGACTGTTATTTTAGATCAACTAATAAATTTTCAAATGACAAAAGTAAATTGTCGTTCTTAACCTACTCAGATTTTAATAAGTCGAAACATGTAACTCAGTTTGTAGTTGACTCAGGATGTACAACTCATATGACAAATGACAAAACATTGTTTTCTTCACTAGAATTTAAGCAGTCAGATGTACATGTTGCTAAAAATAATGAAACAATGACAGCAATAGGAGAAGGTAAAGTTGAAGGGAGAGAGTTTGATTTGAATAAAGTTTTGTTTGTTCCTGATTTAAGCACCAACTTATTTTCTGTAAAGGCGGTCACTGATAATGAAGGAGAAGTGACATTTACCAAGGACAGGGTAGTAATATCGAAAAATGGAAAGACAGTAAGTGAAAGTGTGAAGCAGGCTAGTGGTCTGTATACAATTAATTTAGAACCTGAGAGTAGCCTAATTGAACAATCAAGTAAAACTATGTTAACGGGGTATAAGGATAGGCCTAATGCGTTGGATTGGCATTCTCGTTTGGGACACCTAAATGTAAACTACATGAAGAAAATGGTAAAGGAAAATTTAGTTGACGGTATGGAACTAACAGAAAAAGATTGTGAAGAAATTGAAAAAAATTGCGATGTATGTTTAAAATCGAAACAAACCCGTTTCCCATTCAGTGAAGAAAGAAAACGTGCAGAAAGACCCCTCCAAATCATACACACAGATTTATGTGATCCCATTGATCCGAGTACATGGGATGGAAAAAAATATGCTTTGACCTTGATGGATGACTATACTCAATTTGTAGTGGTCAAGTTGTTGTCGAACAAACATGAAGCATTTAAGTTTATAAAAGAATATGTATTAGAAGCCGAAGCTCAGCAAAATCTTCGGGTTTCAAAATTAAGATGTGACAACGGTGGAGAATATAAAAGCAAAGAAATGCAAGATTGGTGTAAAAATCGAGGGATTCAGTTAAGCTATACAGAAGCGTATACGCCAGAACACAATGGGAAGGCGGAGAGATTAAATCGAACACTGATTGAAAAGGCCAGAGCATTGTTGTATGACACAGAGACTGACAAGAAGTTTTGGGGAGAAGCAGTGAGAACATCAGCTTATTTGTTGAATAGAAGTCCTACAGAAGCGGTGGACGTAACACCAGCAGAAAAATGGTTTGGGAAAAAACCTAATGTGTCTCGACTACGGAAATTTGGATGTGAGGGACATGTAAAAATTGTGAGACCAATCAAGAAACTTGATCCGAGAAGTGAAGTCATGAAATTTATAGGCTATGCAGAAAATGGTTATCGAATGTGGAGTTATGACAAACAGAGGATCATTACAGCTAGAGATGTCATTTTTGACGAAAAAGGAAATAGGCCTAAATCAGATGTTGGAGGAAAAATTGATTTTAGTCTAGAAAATGACTTAGTCGATGGTAATAGTTCAAATGCAGAATTTTATGAAGAAAATCATGAAGAGGAAAATGAAATGAATCCAGTAAATCAAACCGAAGAAACAGAAGAAGAAATAAGACCTAGAAGAGAAAGGCGAATACCCAGTAAGTTTCAAGATTTTGCAATGTTGACGTTTAAAGAAGCTATAAGTAGTCCAGAGAAGAAGGAGTGGTTAAAAGCAATCGAAGAAGAGAAGAAATCACTTGAGAAAAATAACACTTGGACTTATAAAAATGAAGAAGAAGCTAAAGGAAAAAGAGTTTTAACAAACAAATGGGTTTTTTCTAAAAAAGAAGATGGTCGTTTTAAAGCTCGCTTGGTTGTAAGAGGATGTGAGCAGAAAAGTGATTTTAACTATGAAGAAATTTTCAGTCCAGTAGTAAGTAGTAATTCACTTAGAATTATGTTTGCAATTGCTGTGTTGAAGGAATATCATATTTTAAAATTTGACATCAAAACAGCATTTTTGTATGGTGAAATACAAGAAGAAATTTTTATGGAAGTACCAGAAGGATTTGAAGAGCCTAATAAAGTTTGTAAATTGAACAAAGCCTTGTATGGTTTGAAACAAGCACCAGTTACTTGGAACAGGAAGTTTACACAGGTATTGAAACAGAAAGGACTTGAACCAACAATGAATGAAAAGTGTATATTTAAAAATGAAGATGGATCTGTTATCCTTGCTTTATATGTGGATGATGGGATTTTAATTGGAAGAAATAAAGAGGAACTGGAAAAAGTATTGAAGGAACTGAAAAGAGAATTTGAAGTTAAAGAAGATCTGAAGCCAGTCAGTTTCTTGGGAATCGAAATTCAGAGAACAGAAGATAAGATACAATTGACTCAACAAAAGTACACAACAAATCTGTTACAGAAGTTCTACATGGAAAATTCCAAGTTTGTTGCAACCCCAAGTGAGATAAACACATCAAGATCTGGGAAGTTAGTCAATAGTTTTCCATTTAGAGAAGCGGTTGGGAGCCTATTATATCTTTCTACAAGATCAAGACCAGATATTGCTTATCCAGTAAACTTTTGTAGCAGACACTTGGAAAACCCTGTAGAAGAAGACATCATAAGTGTGAAGAGGATAATGAAGTATCTAGTTGGTACTACAAATCAAGGAATAAGTTATCTCAAAGACTCGGACATGAACTTATTAGAAGCCTACTGTGACGCAGACTACGCCGGAGATGAAGATACCAGAAGAAGTACAAGTGGATATGTGATTCTATATGCTGGAGGACCTATTGCCTGGTGTTCGAGGCGACAACCCATCGTAGCGCTCTCATCGACCGAGGCGGAGTATATAGCAGCTGCGGATTGCTGTAAGGAACTACTTTATTTAAAATCGTTAATTCAAGAAATAACAAACAGCCCTTTGCAAGTGAAATTATATGTGGACAATCAGAGTGCAATCTCGTTGATGAAGACCGGTGTAATGAACAAAAGAAGCAAGCATATTGATGTACGGTACCACTTCATTCATGAGAAAATTGTAACGGGTGAGATTAATGTTATGTATTGTCCTACAGATAAGCAAATTGCAGATCTCTTAACTAAACCTTTATGCAAAGTAAAGTTTAATTTGTTCAAAGAAAGAATTGTACAAATTGGAAAATGAAATGTAGCCTAGAACTATAAAGAGGCCTAACTTTTTTCTTTGTTATCATGTCTATTTGTTTTGATTCTGGACAAATATGCCCTAATAGGCTGATATGTATATATATTTTTGATTTCACAATGAAATCCCCAATATTGTTGTTTATAGGTCATTAATATTGAACCAGTTTGTAAAGAACATTTTGGATAGGCCCTATAATGTTTGGTTACATAAATGTTAAAATTAAGAGGGGGTGTTGAGATAAATAATTTTAACATTATTCATTTAAAATTATTATATATATAGCCTATATATATATATTTTGTTTGTATTATCAACTCTTTTGTTGCCTTTGAGTTTAGAAAAAAAAGAAGTTTTTTTAGGCTATATCAAGAAGGTCTTTGAGTTGTATAGAAAAAGGAGAAGTAAAATGGCCGTGGTAATGAGAGGTTGAGTAGTTGTTTTGCTGTGTAAATTGTAACATTAAAAAAGTGTGTTTTCAATAAATAAGATATTTGGGAAATGTATTGTGTTATTAAAAAGCCCAGCACAGACTAAAAATTCACAGGAATCGGCATTTCAAGTAGGCCACAGACATGGACGACTGGGCATTGTGTCCCAGTGACATCCCTTCATCCAGGATAGGGGGGGTGTTTAGCTCTAGGAGAGATGGAAAAGCATCATAATCTCTAACCTACCTGTGTCTGTGGTTCTTTGGGCTTCGGCCTGCTTGTTGTGTGCGACCAGCATTCAGAGTGGCATATCCTCGACTTCGGAAGTAGCCTCTCCTGGAGGTGAAAACGGGCAAGTACCCTTAGCTCATGGGGACACTCAAGGGAAACGTAACTTTCCGCAGTGTGAGGGCAACGGTTTGTAGGCACTTATGCAAACCAATCCCTGTCTCTGATCACGGACGGTATGGTTATCTTGAGTGTGGGGGGTTCTTCCCGGAACCTCAATTGAGTCAAGGATGTCGCCACCTTTGGTGGATAGGTTCATCCGGGTGGGTCCCACTTCTATACCTGCCTCCTTTTGGGAAACCTTGATGACCTGGCAGTGATGTTGGGTCTGACGGGCAAACGAAGTAGATCGGGTGCTGGGTCCGAGCCCGCCAGAGGTATCCGGGGATCTATCGCTCTGGTTATCTCTGGTTTCCCAGCAACTGGGTAAGGCCTCGATCGGGTAGTGGTGTAAATGGGAGGTTGGGGTTCCCCCCGTCAGCTTGCTGACGGTCCCCTTCTTTCTGGCTATTGATGGCGGGTTTGCCTGTCAGGGATTAGATAGGTCCCGAGTGTTGCTTGCACTAAATGCGTCGGGGCGCTCTACTATGGTCCTCTAGGTCCCAACCTAGTGGAACCCAGGTGGAGTGACGCTTAAACAAGTAGCCGGAAACCCTGGTTAGGATTGAGGGGCAACCCTCTTTCCGAAGGGTCTGCTTCGGCAGCCGGTGAGCCTGATGACCTTAAGTCATCCGCCCATGATGTACAAAAGGTTGATGCGTAAGCTTCGGCCTACATCATGGGGCCCGGGTAAGTCTCACGATAGGTACCGGGTATGTAGTCAGGGGGCTTCGGCTCTCATGACAAATATTGAAATTGGAAATTGGAATAGTCCCCAAGGATCAGAGTCAACTTCCTCCTGAAGCCTCCTCCAACAGCTAACCTTGCTCCTGATGATAGCCCGGCGAAGAGCTTTCTTCGCAGCCCTATAAGCCGCTGAATCCGGGAATCTTCTGGCCCTCATAGCGGCACGTCTGGCTTTTAGACAAGTTTTCCGAAGGTTCGAGATCTCTAAAGTCCACCAGTACACAGCTTGCTTATCGCGACGGCGTCCCCTGCGTGGCATGGCCTGGTCACAAGCCGAGACAATCAGTTCCATCGTGGACGTTACCAATGCCTCGGCGTCAACAGGTGCAGCAGAATTCACCAGCGCTCCCCGTGAGATTACGTCAGTGAACTTCTCAACATCCAGCTTGTCCGTATTCCATCGGCGTGGTCCAGATCGTGATACAGGCGCCTGATTATGGTGTTCATCCAGTATATCAAAAACGATGTACTGATGATCACTTGCCGTGAGGTCTTCGATGACTCTCCAGTTGGAGATCCCTGCTAGTAGTGATTCCGACGAGAAGGAGATATCGGGGATCGTACCTCTCATGCCGGGGCGCCGGAAAGTAGGCGTGTCGCCCTCATTTAAGACGACAAGTCCGGCTCTGGCGGCAAAGTCCAGGATGTATTTCCCCCGGGAGTTTGTAGAGGTCATACCCCACTCCACAGCCCTCGCATTAAAGTCACCAGCAACAACGACATGCCCAACGGTACCCCGTACACTGTCTTCTAAGCGGTCAAGCTTCAGACGGAATTCCCGAATTGGCTCGTTGGGGGTAAGGTAGACACTAAAAAACGTGACGTCCCTACACCTGACCCAAACGAAGCCTCGGCCGCGTCCGTGATCTTGCACTGGTGCTTCCGTGCTGTTTCGAACCCAACAAGCGGCAGTACCAAGAGAATCTGGGAACCAGAAGTGTGGGTCCCTGTCACGGTACTGCTCGCTGATCAGAAGGGTGTCCGCACCGATCTCTTGGGCCAGCTGATCTAAGAGGGAGTCAGCAGTTCTGGACCTCTCAAGGTTACCCTGGAGAATCCTCACTTCCTAGACCTAGCCTTCTCAAGGTCGAGTGCAGCCTTGAAAACACTGCATCGCCCAGCCCCTGGGATGTGACCTAATGAGGCGTCCTTTTGGCCTTTCTTTGCGCAGAGAAAACAACGCTCTGCTGCGGTACAGTTCTTCCTGTTGTGGCCCGAGCCGCCACACCTGAAACAATTCTTGGATAGGTCGGGTCCCTTACAGTTTCGGGAAGAGTGACCAAACCCGAGGCAGCGAAAGCATCGCGGTACAACCACCCTCCGTCTGAGCCTGCAATTGACCCATCCAATTCTCAGGTGTGTGAGATTAAGCAGCTTGCTGGCATCTTGGTTTCGCATTTCAGCGATAGCTATGCGTTGCTCGCTGCGGTTGGGCCGCGTAAGCCATACTTTAAGGGAGTCGGCATTTTGGATATCAGGGATGGCCTTGTTGATAGCCTCCCTGACTTCAGCCTCAGTCGAAAGACCGTCAAGGTCCCGGATCTCCACCGAGGTCCTAGGCTCGAGTTCCTGAACGGTACCGTGGTCCCCCAGAGCCTCTCTGACCTTTGCAGCAAAAGCCACTCGGTCACCAGATTTCCCCAGCTCGAGGAGAACTTTCCCATTCTGGGTACACCTGATTGACTTAACAATCGTATCCGTCTCCTCTGGCTTGGCCTTAGACTTGAGTCGACCCAAGACTTCAGCAAAAGATCGCCCCCCTAAGAGGTTGATCAGGATTGCCTCAGCCCTGGGCTTTCTCGGCCTGGGTTTCTTTGAAAAAGGGGGGGCCTTTCCACGAACCTCCCTCGCCAGAGCAGGATCAGCAACCTTTCGATCCCTTGCTGCAGGTTCTTTGTTAGAGACAGCCTCAATTCGTCTCAATTTCCTCTTTTCTTTGCGGGAAAGCCTCTTCTCCCAGTTACCCACATTTGATGGTGCCACAGCAGAGTTCATAGAGCTGCTTCCGTCAACCGTTGGGGGAGAGGCAAGCTCCCTGGTTTGCTGAGGGCGCTTCTTTAGAGCTGGAGTGTGCTCAGTAGGGGGTGTCATCTGGGTGGCCCTGTCCTCGACCTTCTGCTCGACATCTGACAGAGGCTGATTGGCCAATTCAGGAAGATCGGGGCTATCCGCTGGTGAGCTCCTTGCCCGTTTCCTTTGATTCCCGCCCTTGTCGTTCAGTTTAGGGGCTAAAACTTGGTTCACAAGCTCCCGTTCATTAACTAAAGCCTGTCTCATCAAACCTTTAATTTCGAGAACTCGGGCAACCCGATCCTTCACCTTTGGGAGACCGTCCTTGATTGACCGGTTTACGTTGGTCCGGAGCTTCAAGGTTCCCTCCATATTATTGATGAGGTTAGTATATCACATCAATGAACTGATAGCTATTTCTTAAGATTTAATAAACCACAAAATCTAAATGTGTATACTAAGAGCCAAGTAAGTGTTTAATATCCAGGTCAAACTAACTATTTGAAACGAGTATCGCATGTTATGACACAGAACACTTGAAATATTTTATTTGTTTTACCAAAAATGGGGCCCGGTGCTTTTTACTGTATATTTCACATTAAATGTGCTTACGTAGTGTATGAACAATTCCAGAATGTTTGAAATATACAAACAACTCGAATACGATACCATAGATTAATCCTAATATCCTAAATCATGTCATTCATTTGAACACTATCGACATTTCAGATAAATAAAGATTCTTGGTATTTTTTTCTGGTTAGCTTTAACTCAGTTTTGTAGTTTTTCAGGGCAACTAACATTCCACCTATAAATTGATCAATAGAACACGACGAGTTCATATGCCAGTTCATATGAGATTGACGAGGAGTTTGATATGCCAGTAGGACATATAAGTATGTGTTGAAATATTTTTCAAAAATATTAGGAAAACCGTATACAAGATTATACAATGTCGCTATTGTAAAAATTGTATTGCTAACTTTAACAAAGATGAGGGAGAACTTTTTCAGGTTGAGCTTTCGACACTTCTTGATTCTACTAAAATCCATTCTTTTATTGTATAATAATTTAATCTGCCACCGTTAAATATCACTGGAGTGTATCATATTCAGAGAAAGTATAGTAAAACATAAAATTTTATTGAAAAATAAAATACGCTCGTAATTTGGACAATCTTGAAGTACTATTCACGAAGCACACACTTTATGCAACTTTCCACTGATATAATAAAGATAGTTTGAATGCTAGTAAACCAACAATCATATTTTAACTGACAATAACGAATCTAGCCGACTTGATCACATTTTGGAATTATAAAATAAGCACGGTTATGCCAGCATAACCCTCAATACTTATTCATAGGGAATAACTGATTTAATAGTAAACAAAAACTATAATTGTTACCATTATTTCAGCCAAATAGTTTAGGCTATTCATTTGAATCGATCGGTTTTCCTGTTCAACCCTGCTATAAGGTTTAGAATTTAGGGGATATTAAAAGATACATTTTTATTGCATATGTAGAAGGCCAAGTCAAGTGCAAATTTAACATTAAAATTAAAAATATATCTGACTGTTTGTAAGGGGACCCTTTACTCCAAGCCTCATAGTTTATTAGTTTAACTAATCATGCCTATTTGTTAGATTTATCAATACTCTTTAAGACAATGAAAATAAGGGTAATGTAAGATACATTGTTATGGTAACAAATAATAACTGACAAGTGAACTAAATATTCTGCCTATTTACGCCCAAGACAGTTTTACTATATTCTCTCGCAAAGTCCTAAAATTACTCTTTTGTTAGATAGTTTTCGTGTCTAGTTCATGTCCGATGCCAATGATGATCGCATGTGTCGACGAAATTTAGCTTTTATTATTTTAGTGTTATATTAATGATTTGTGCTTTACAGTTTGATTATATAACTAGGGGACGAGTTATTGTTTAAGGTTAGATCGTTTTTTTTTTGTTAAACGAGGTTTTAAATTACTCAAATAACAAGAAAAATATTGTAAACAAAACACCACAATACTTTTAAACTATTTTTACAATGAACCTTTACAGCCTTTTATCCATGTTGGGTACAAGGGGAAACTGCAACTTAAACTCTCATTAAGTGGTGCACTCACCCTATTGTACCACTCTTTTAGAGGCACATAAATCCTTCGTCATGTTTTCTTGTAACCCTGAGTAAAAACCCGTCATTCACATGTCAATAAATTGTGGAACATAAAACATTGAAAGCTTTCAATGTTTTGATTATGATTCCTTCAAATGTGGTTCGTACCTAGACTTAACCTTTTTTTATTATAAGTGATTGATATAGTGAACTAGAAGACAATGTTTTAGTTTGCTTAGGGTTGTCTTTGCATTAGACAACTACTGATGATGCACTCCTCTTACCATTCAACTAACTTTAAAGTTACTTATGCCACTCATTGTGTGAGATATAAACTCTATAAAAACATGTAGTGCAAGATAAATTGGATTTTCTTTGTCACGCAACTAGGTATATATTTACTTAAAATCAAATGTAAACAATAATAGGTATATTTAAACAAGTAATTTAACAAAACATCATTATAAAACCCATCATAGGATAAATCATTATTAAATACTTTTTACATACATTATACTACGTAAAATGATCAATATAAAGGCGACTTTACTAAATGTTACATAAATTACTGTCAACGAAAATAATAAATTTCACAACCTGTAGATGATAAATATTTGATTTGGTTTGTTTCAGATGGCTAAGCATAATATTTTTAACACTTCAATTAATTAATCATAATACTATAAGTATCATATCCAATACAGTTCTCCTGTTTGTTGCTCAAGCCGATCATATCGACTAATTCATCTAGGAACTAATTAGTTCCGCAGTGTTTGCTTACGTAACCAGTAACAGGATCGTTAAAATATTACCGATTCAATTCAATGATAGAATTAACTTCAAGTGAGTTACAATAGCGCTATAATAATAGTACTTCGATGATCGTACTGATAGTACAGTTCATACATCTATTCGGGCAGAATCATATTTTGTAAGTGGTTTAAACTTTACAACAGCTTGTTTACAAATTAATTACTAACCTTAAATCGATCACGCACGCAACCTATTATATTAAAAGGGTTATTTATTTGATATCAATACTCGAAGAAACCTTGCATTGTCATTGTTAAAAATATAATTTTAATCCTTATTCTAAATTGAAATTAGCCTACTCTATGTTTTCGAAAATGCAGATAAGAGAAAGCTAAGCTAATTTAGCCATCTAATTTTATTCTGAATTATAAGAAAATACAGCTCAAAGTCATGGGTTTCTAAAGTACGGTGTTATGACATACGGAACCTCAATTATTGTTGCACGAAATTTGAACTTATGATACAAGATAGAAGTGATATTACGAATGATATAAATTAAGACTTTAAATATTATAAACATTTAAAGATTTTGATTTTTACAACCTTATTTCTATACCATTTAGCCTATGTTATTATTGTAAAGGATGTATTTGTAGACATATTAATGAACTTAAACAAAACAATCTCTTAAACAATATCTTTGATAATTTATTTAAATATCTTTATACCGAGGCTAAATAAATCATCTTTACCAAATAACGTATTTTGATTAATACAAACCAGAATTGCATGATGTCTATCAGTTGGTTTATGCAAATCACTTGTTGTTACATGGCTGTGTTGTGTTATGGGTAGTGTTTCTGAGGGACGTATGAGAGATTAAAGTACTCCCTGCGATCAATTACTAGCATTTACAACTTCTTTTTGTACTAATGTACGTTGTACTCTCATTAATTATAGGTTAAATGCTGTTGTATTGCAGATTTAATCAACATAATACATTTGCTCAATGCTATAATTGAACTATTGGATTATTTATATTTCAAATACGTCAGTATATATTTTAAGCGAGTTACTAACATTTTTGTGGTCACCACGAAAATCATATCTAGATTGATCCATTGCCTTAAGGTACGGTTACGCCAGAGCAAACAGGAGCGAAAGAGCAGTAACGAATGCGAAATTCACTTCGGTGTGACCGGCGCCTCGAGCGACAGCGAACACCAATCGGCCGTGTTCGGCAGTGCTCGATAGTCCCATGTTCGTGTTCACGCCTGCTCCATTCACTGTCGGTTTCAGCGCGAATGATCAAAGGAAATTCGCGTTCACTCGAGTTCGGTGTTCGCTTCAGTGTGACCACATCGGAGTGACTCCAGTCTGGTCCTTGCCGGTGTCTACATTACTGCTGTCAACAAGTTGTTTAGGTCAAAGGTGGTCTTTTCTTTGTACTACAATTAATTATTCCTATTTTTTTAAACTATGGAGTGGACTCATGACAAAGTGTTGGAGCTGATTGAAAAATACAAAGCAAGGCCAGTGTAATGGGATCTTAGTAGTGCTGGTTATAAGCTGTTGAATAAATAATTAACAGTTTTTTTTTTAAATTATTTACTAAACAGTTAGTTTGTTTATCAACAGCACGGTGAAGATAACAGAGATTATCGTCACCATGCAGTTCTTGTGGAGGCGGAGCACAAGCGAATGGCGTTTCAATCAAGACTATTCTTGTGTTTTCACTCTGGCGTGACTACTCCCATTCTCAGGTGTTCGCAAATGCTAGCGAACCACAGCGAACAGCAGTAAACGTTCGGTTCGCTCCTTTTCGCTATGGTATAACAATTCAAAATGAGGGGTCATGTCAAGGGGGTTAAAAAATATCTCTGAAGCAAAGGTATTGCGAAAACTTTGGTTAACAATCAATGCCACAACAGAATAGTTCTATCTATTTCGGTTTGAAAAATACGGATTTGTTTCAATACTTAATTTACACACTATATATCATTTATATATTAGCCGGGGAAAAAGCGTAATTAAATTTGATAATGTAGGTTTCACTGCTTCATGTCCGATGATGCCACTACAAGACCCATGCACTGTCTTGCTCCAGATATTCATCACAGTCATATGGTTAGTTTTAAATTGTCGTCATCAATTATCAGTCGTTATCAGTTAGTAGTGAGTACAGCTAACCATGTTTGTTTATTGAATGCAGCATACATTTTACGATATTAATTGTCTACTCAGTTCTCCCTTTTAAAATATTACAATGGAGCAAGAGGTAGAGCTAGACCTAGAGCTAGAGCTAGCAATAGCTAGAGATTATCAGCTATTAAACTGAGAGATTTATCGTCCATACAAACTTAACTGACTTTTATTTCAAACATTATGTCTTTAAAACCGAAGCTTCTTGAGTTCCATTGCACCCTAGACATGAACATCGATGTAAAGCAAAATTAAATATACATGAAAAATGTTAAATAAATATGAAAGATATGAA